TCTAAATTTTTTTAAAATAAAAATAAAAAATTCAAATTTACAATCATACTAAATAAAACCTAATTAAACGAAAGTCAAAAACAAATTTCTGGTTTTTTTTTAAAAAGCATAGATTTAATTAAAAAACTGTAAGACACCTTGAAACCTTTTGCTAATTTATGCTAATTATGTTATGTGAAATATTTTCATGAGTAGGAAAAAAAAGTGTTTTAAATTTCATGGTGTTCAAATAAAATTGATGATATAGATATAATTTTTTTATAAAATTTTGTATACAAATTTTATATTTTATTAAATATATATATAATATTATAAATTCTAATAAAATAAAAAAATTTATTATTAAATAACATGTTAAGGTTTTATGAAAAAATTATATAAAAAATTATTTCATAATTCTTTTCTTAAAAAAGGTCAAAAATAGGACTGTATGTTCACGCGACTCAAAAGACGCTTGAACCTAGCAGTGTTCTGTACAAGTCAAAAATGAGCAAAAAAATAATTTGGTTGATAGATTTTTATTTATTTGGATTTATTTTATCTTTAGAAGGGAAAATGATGGAGAACCGACGTCGTGGGGGTTGGTGGGGGTTTGGTAGCGGGAGTTGGAGAGGACTCCAATGCAATAAGAGCAGTGCTAGGGGCACTCGCTTTCTGCACTCTCCGGCCAACACTGCCCCTTTCATTGGGCCACGTTGTTTTAGTAGCCAGAGGTTGCGCTTCAAAGTTTAAAACAACCTTACGTGGCCCAATGAAAGGGGCAGTGTTGGCCGGAGAGTGCAGAAAGTGAGTGCCCCTAGCACTGCTCATGCAATAATCTGGCTGAAGTGTAAATTCATTTTTGCAGTCCGATTCAATTGACCCTTGGGGACCATTTTCAGGCTGTTCACCCCTATTAATCGTTATTATAATACAGCTTTTTTTTTAATATATTAATGAGAAGGTTAATTACTTAATATGATAGAAGTTTATATTCTTGAATTGATCTCAAGTTGAAGTTTTTATTATAATATAGTTTATATCGTCATTGTATAATGCTTTTATTTTTGTTTTTAAAATGAAATGTTGTCTTCTAATTTGAGCATTATCAAATTATAAAATATAAATTTTATTAAATTATAAAATACAAACCCTTGTCTTGAATGAGGTTAAAAATGGATGCCAACTGGGTGGAAGCCTTTTTAGTTTTTATTTTTCAAAAAATCCTCCTCTCAATTGTTGTATGGGAGAATAGCATAAGTGTATCACTTGTTTTTGCTTAAAATAAGAAAAACAGATTTTATTGATTATCTTCTTCTTCGAAGTAACCAATCTCTATGTGGGATGATTGAAAGAATGTCAATTATGTATTGAAGATGCATCTCAAATGAGAAGATGTTGCAAGGAGGGATGAATTCTTGCAAAATGAGTTACAAACTTACTTTGGACAATTTTAAGGGCTTTCCACATTTAGGGCCACAATAAAATTTATTTATTAAATAAAGCAGGAATGAAATAAAGAGCTGGCAAAAAATGGGAGGACATTGCAAAACTTGGAAGGCAAATTTAGGGTAAAATGAGCTATAGATTTCAATATAACAGGTAGATCTCATTAAGCAACTATTGGCTAACTTTAACTAAACTATTTACAGAAATGTAAACTAAGCACTTTGAGAATAACATGAAGCTTTGCAATATAAAATAACAAGATTGCATTAACTACAATGAAATCTATTTATAGAATTGAAATTTGATTGCATTGATAGAATTGAAATGTACTAACAAAACTTACAAATCTATTAATCTAGAAGAAAACCTACAAAGGTAAAGGGACAAATGCCACATAAAACAATTAAAACCTAAACTAAAGAGCTTGAGGGCTGGTTTCTTAGCTTAGAAGCTAATTGAGAGTTTGATTAAGGCATGTTGTTGTGTTGGTTCGTATTGAAAGGGGGTAGGCCTTGTTTGAATGTGCTGAATCTTCATATTTATTGCTAATGAATGCCCAAAAAATGGCTTGTAACCATCCATAACTAGCCTGCAAAAATGTGATCAAAACTACTTGGTCTAATTAAACATGTTAACAGCAAACTTGGTCAAAAACAGCTTTAGAACTCGCCACTTGTCCACCATTTCATCAAATTAGCTTCCTCATGTCTCCCATTTGCTGCACTTGGCCGATAATTTCCCTTAAAATTCTATCATTATCTCAACTAATATCAAATAACACTATATTATTAAGAGATAGTTAATTAAAAACTACAATTTTAACATTCTACATGATAGTTATCAATAGGGTTTGTTATACTCTAAATCACTGTAAAATTAAATTTGATGTGGTTTAATCTCACCTACTTGTTCAAATTACATGAAACATGACATCATCTAATAATTTTGCAATTTATGGTTTAAATAATACCTAAATTTAAAATTGAGTCAAGGGACTAAATTGGTGCAAAACCTCTAAGTTCATGGACTATAAAAGACATTAAACCATGCCAACCAACTCTAGGTCTATTTCTTTAGATAGAAACCAAGGCTGGAAAAGGGTGCTTCTAAAAATTAGGAGTTTGGTTGATATGACTATAAGCTTATTAAGAAAGTTCTAATTGTAAAAAATATCAGAACAGTATTGTAAAAAATTAATATTTTTGAATTAGTAATATGTATTTTAAAACTAATTTTTTTGTTAAATAATTTTAAAGTTACACCTTATATTAATTTAGTACTTTTAAAGGAATAAAATTTTAAAATATTAATTTTAAATTTTAAATTTTAATTATAAAATAATACTTATTTGATAGTAAATAAATAGTAAATCAAGAATTAGTTTGCCCATTCGATTCGTTGCCACCGCGAAGTTATGCCACCATGGCATGGGTTTAGTAGGTGGGAGAAGTGGGTGAGATGGGCCCAAAGATTTTATCTAAGCCAACTTAGAAGACGTAAACAAGTTGATGATGACGATGATGGCAGCTCAAAAAGTCAAAAACCCATGATCTCTGATATTTTAGATTAATCGATAATACGTTACTAAAAGGTTAAATGCTTAATTTAGTCCCTCAACTTTAAGAAATGAACATTTTTGATCCCTCAACAATTTTTTGCACTTTTTTGATCCCTCAACTATAAGAAATGCACTCCGTTAGTCTTTCTGTTAATTTGAGCCGTTAAGTTCGCTTACGTG